ACGCTCCACGAGAGGCGCCGCAAAGCGGCGGGCACGTACGTCTTGGCGTCGCCGCGTGCTAGCGTCGCGCTGGCTGCGAGACGTAGCAGTGATGTTCACGCGAGGTGTCGACGATGTTCACGCGAGGTAGGCGGTGCTGCCCGGAGATTTCAGCTGAAGTCGAGACGCAGCCGACGCTACGAGCAGACGGGACCAATCGGACGTCTCTGTACGTGTTCCGTCATCGCCGAACCAATCAAGACCAGAGACGACCCAGTCACTCGCGCATTTGACGGTGCTCGATTGGCCCTAGTACCTCGTAGCGTCGGCTCTGTCTGAAGTTCAACTGAAACAATTTTTTTTTTTTTTTTTTTGTAGTGATGACGTTTGGAGGGGGCGGGGGGCGGCGGCAGGCCTTGTTTTTCTTTTTTTTTAGGTTGTATTGCTCGGTCCTGCGCTACATCCCTCCTCGTCTTCCTCGCAGGTTGAGCACGCACTCGCATTTGAGGCAATTTTCCGCGAAATTAGTTCTCTTCCACGTCCCTGGTTCCTCGTCGCTTGCGTCTGTCAATTGTTTTTCCCTCTCTTCTGGCGTCATGAGACCATGAGCGCGTAGTCTGTCCTGATCGTAGTTGTACCGGTTGAATCGTTTTGGTCACATGCCTTGTGTTCAACGCGAGCCCAAGTGAATACTCGCGTCAGGTGGGGCCTTTGCGCACGCGCCGTAGTGTGCCTAGATGTCAGAGTGTCTCCAACCGCTCGATCGGGCTGCCGTGCTTTATGGGCCGGAGTACAAGCTGCGAGGAGGAATCAAAAGAGTTGGTCGTCTGGACCAATCTGCCCAGGAGGCGTCCGCCATTGAATTGCGAGCGCTCCTCGTGCTTTTGACGTGGACGCTCTGTTCAATCTAGGCTCTCTACTAAGCCGAAAATACGCGAATCTGAGAGAAAGTGGACGACGCGGGGCGCACTCGCAGTGGTGGTTAATTACAGTGAGAATTACTAGGGCAGAAAAAGTAATTCATTACACTTTACTTTTAGAGTAACTCGGTTACCTTTTTTTTTTTTTTTTTTTTCAGTGCTGTCCGACGTGAACGATGTTCAAATAGATCGTCTCTTCCGTCCCGCAACGCTCTCCGCAACGCTCTCCGCAACCTGCTACGACATGCGGAACGCTGCAGTCGAGTCCAGCGGCGCGCATGCGCTCTAGCGGCGTCTTCGTTGCGGGGAGGGTAGCGCAGAGTAGGGAAAATGATCCGCGGAAACTCCCTAATGCGATGTCAGTTTTGCGCACCGAGGTGTATTTTCTCATCCTTGTCTGACCGTTTGGGGACTCATTTTCTACTCGTCACATGTTGCGCCTTTGTTTCACCCGCTTCGTTCGCGGTTAGGGCGAGGAAGCTGAGTTCTGAGTGCGATACGAGTCGGTTGCCGTATTATTTTTCAATACCACCAGGATTGTTGACTGCCTCTGTCAGGGCTCGACGGAGTATAGCTGGGATAAACGCGTGGGACTCGAATCTTTATTGGCCAGTGATGGGCAATCGGGCAGAGCGTGCGCTTGCCTGTCACTCCCTCTGTAGATATAGCACGAAAATCTACCGCGACAAAATCATAAAAAAAAAAAAATAGTCGTAATCGTAATTCAACTTTGGCGATCACTGACGATAAAAGCAATTAAATTGTAACTGCAATTACTTTTAGCCAGGTGTAATTACGAATACAAGTATCCAGAAAAGAGTTTAAGATACGGAAATTTAATTACTGTGATTGAATGACTACCCGTGTTCCCTGCACGCAACATCTGAGACGGATACGTCATTCCAGTGTTCACAAGTCCGCATCCCGGCGTGCAACCTCCACATACAAGCACGCGCGACTCCGTCGCTTTGCGAAGCTATAGCCAGCCCAATGCCACCTAGAATATGAGGCCTGAGTCTCTCTCTCTCTCTCTTTCTCTTTTCTCTCTCTCTCTCTCACACATACACACACACACACACCTAAACGTCCTCACTGGTGGTTCCGCGCAGCGCCGACTACACTACGTCAGTATCGTCGACATGGCGTCTCGCAGCGTTGTCACAACGAGCGCGACGCTAGCACGCAGCGACGCCATGCAAGATCCATGCAGGCGTCTGCCGCTCTATGCGGACTGTTGTCGAGCTTCGGCGGTTTGCCGCTCGGGGTGGGTTGGGGTCCCCTAAGGATGACGTCACGCGCGGGCCTTGTCTCGTAGGTGGTATCGGCAAACCCCGCCTCGTGCCGCCGGACGCATGAACGCTCAAAATGACCCTTCTCATCTCCGTTTGGTGCAGTCTAGATGTGCCTGCTTGTTTCTTCGTTTATTTTTTGGGACGATGAGACGCTTAGGAGGCCGCTCCTAAACTCGTCGGCTATTGCACGGAGCAGTATCGCACCTCGCCTGGTTTCCAGAAGCTTTTCCTGCTTCTTTCTCCAAAACCTTGTGAAATGTGGAGCTAAGTGTTTTAACGCCTTCTCTCTTTTTTTTTATATATGTTTTAATTATAGGTGGAGTTTGTGGAGGTAAGATAGAAGAAGCAGTATACCCGGCCTAAAAGAATAAGGATAAAAAAAAAAAAAAAGAGTATCTGGGGCGTGTTTGGCACAATAATTGGCCGAAAACGGCACAGCCTCGCGATGCGGCAATTGTCTAAAAAAATGTGTTAGCCTTAGTGGAATTTGTGTCGCCTTTTCGTTGTAGCCGCCTTCTTGTTCCCTTTTGTGAACGGTACCGCACTGAACGTTAAGTGCGTGCTTCGCTACGTCGTTTGTTTTTGCCCGCGGCCGTCAAAGCCGGTTAGCTGGTTTACTCGAGAGCCAGATCTGCGAGTTTGGGAGAGGGTGAAAGCGGGATTAAAAGAGAAGTACTAGGCGTAATTTCTGTGGAATGTAGCTCGAAGGCTGCCGCGCTTTCTGAGGGAATACCGAAGATAAGCTTGTAACGTTGGGAATTTTTATTGAATTTTTAAAAGCCTTCGACTGTGTGATCCGTAATATTCTGCTAGAGAAACTAAATTCTTATGAATTCAAAGGGCATTCATTCCCTTGCCCTAGTTGCAAGCTATTTTAGTTGCCGACGGCAAATGAAAAAAAGAAACGACCATATCTCAATTATGAAACCGGTCCGGACAGGGGTACCCCGAGGCAGTGTCTTGGGGCTATTACTGGTAGTATTTAACTTGTTTAGAAATTATATTGTCCAATAAAGTGAAATACATCGTTTGTGATTTATGCTAATAATGCAGTTTTTTTTTAAATAATATGAATGGGTTAGTGTATGCAGCAAATAACTGCTTAGAAAAGCTTTCTTTGTGGACCGTGTCAAATTATTTTAAAATAAATGAAACTAGAACAAATTGAATGGGTAACTAGTGCGAAAACATTAGGTGGGGCGTTCCCACCTAATGTTTTCCCTCATATTCAAAACCTTACTCTAAAACTCGAAAATCATGGGTGTTTTCTTCAAATATCGGTATCTGTTACCACCCATCGTAAAAATCTCAGTTTATCATGCATCGTTCAATTCTCGGTTATCTTATTGTCACATAGTCTGGGGAACTACAACTTGTACGAACATAAATAGTTTTTGTTGCGGAAGAATGCTATTCGCGTCGTAGCCAATGCTTCGTATTACTCGCACACTGAACCACTCTTCCGTAAGTATAGTCACGAAAATTAACACCGCAATTATAAACTTGCTACAATGTACGCGGGATATATCTTAAATTTACGAATCATCGGTTGCGACAAACGGCTAACCTGACTTGAAAAAAAGATTGCATACGGAGCGCGCAGTGCCGTCTCTTGGAGAATGCCACGTCCCAGTTCCAACTACGGCCTACAGACGCTTCAGCACGCACTACCCACCCTATTGAATAGAGCGAGGCGTTCACATTTGCTTCGCAAACAGAAAGGCATTGCACCATTTTTTCCCCTCTCTGTTTGTTTTTTCTTTCTTTTTTTTTGTGTGTGTTTGATAACCTCTTAATTCCTGTTTAAATATTTTTACATGTGTTTAGTTTGAAAACCTAAACATTTTTCAACCATTAGGTTGAAAAATATGGATTTAGATTGCATAAAATGAAACGTAATTGAGCGTTACATGAAAAGGGACCGTGTCACTTTTCCGAATGCTTCGAAACGTCGAATGACGAAAGTCATTCTTGTCCAGCTCGCTTGCACCTTTGCATTTAATTGCATTATAATTCGAAACGTCGCATGTTTTTGCCGGTTTGAAAATGGGCCCGGTCGTGCTGTCCATTGAATTAGGATCGTCGAATTACAAACTTACAAAATTACTCGTAACACTAATCGATTCTTTGATTTGATTGCTTGTAACGAGTACCCTACAAGTCTGGTCCAAGTTGGTCGAGCGCCCGCCCCCACTTGTCCGGACACTCGCTTTCTGCCCTGCCGCGAGGACGTCGAACCGTTCCTTGTGTCAGGTCGGAATGTGGGCGGTCGGTGAGGCGGCGGCGGTTTCCCCGATGCGTACTGGAGCGGGACTGTGGGTTTTGGACACTCTAGGTGTCAGTGTTGTCACCGGAATAAAGAACTCCGAAATTTACATTGCAAAGAAAAAAAAAAAAAATAGCGCTTTGTGATGATTTTATATCACCCCCCTTTTGCAAAACAATCCCTCCGTATGATACTTTTTATGTGTTTTGTTTTCTTGTTTTTCTAGTAATAATCTTTCTTTTTTTTTTTTTGTTGCTTTTTTTTTTTTTTGCTTTTTTGCGGTCGAACTGAGCTGGTATGTGTTTGCTTCATTTGGCCCACCTTGGGAGTCTTTCCAAAGTAAAAAGAGTTATTTCAAGAGAAAAAAAAATGCGGTACCTGTACTAGAGATAGAGAGCTTTAGTAGATGAATGACTCCGCGGTAAAGATAGCCGATACTTGGCCGCCGCCTTTGCACGGTATCCTTATCGGGGGGCCCTATCCCTCGTGACGTTCTCCTGGGCGACTGGTCGGCGGCTCAGGTGTGTTGTCCCTTGGTCGCAGGAGGCGCTGGGTCGTGCGTGTCTTCGGCGGCCTGGGCGGCCAAGGCCTTCCCGGTGCCGGACAAGAGGATGGCCTTGGCCAGCCCCCCCGGATGGCTCGTGCTGGTCGTCCTCGCCGCCGCTCTACTCCGGATAGCAGGTAATCTCCTCCGGGCACACCACCTAGACGGTCGTGGTGCCGTCGCAGTGCTGCCGGTCGCCCTTCTCAATAGTGAGTTTTAGTAAACCGTGTTTCCCGCTCCGCTAAGCCCCTCCGCTACCCGGAACTCTACAGCCAAGGCCATCGGCGCGCAGGCGCAGTGGCGATTCCGCGCTCCGCTCTGCAGAGCGGCTGCACGAAAACGATCTACTAAAACTCCCTACTAGGGAGCTTTAGTAGACCGTGTTTCCCGCTCCGTTAGCCCTCCGCTTCGAAGAAACCGCCACTGCGCCTGCGCGCCGATGGCCTTGGCTGTAGAGTTCCGGGTAGCGGAGGGGCTTAGCGGAGCGGGAAACACGGTCTACTAAAACTCGCTATTTAAACTCCGGTACTCGTACCAGAGGGCCCATCGCACCGTATCGGATGTGCTTAAACGGTTCCCTAAAGCTTGGAACGCAAGGCCTGCACCTTTGCCCCCCTCCCATACGTCATCACTCGTGGATCCGGGCAGTACCGCCTAGCTTGCGTCAGCATCGATGCCGGCGCGTCTTGCAGCGTCTCACAAGGGGCGCGACGTTAGCACCCGCTGTTGCCAAGACGCGCACGCGTCTGCCCCTTTGCAACGGCTCTCGTGGAGCTTGAACGTGTTTGCCGCTCGGGGTGGGGAGTCACGAACGATGACGTCACGCTTAGGCCTGGTCTTTTCCAGGTGGTACTCGCTGGTCGCGGGGCAGCGCTCGGTGTCCCGAGGGGGTGCACAGACTACACGCGCAGCGTATGCATTGCTGAATAAAAGTAATGGAATAGGTTACTCGTTACTTGCACATAAAAAAGAACACGTTACAGACCTACGTTACTTTAAAATAACAAAAAGAACGCGTTACAACTAGAAAGTAACGCACGTTACTTTCGCGTTAGTTTCTTTTTTTTTTTTTTCATTTACGAATTCGAACGTTTTCCTTTTTTGTTTTCTTTTTTGTCGGTGCAGGTGTGCATAAGCTGCATAGTTTAAGAAATGTTATGTCCACACAACTATATTTTTTTGGTGGCTCTACCAGATCACTCCAGAGGAAAGCCACCGAAAACGCGAGACTTACCGCCTACAAACACGAAAAAAAATTGGAAGTTTCCTCAATATAATTCGAGGGTTTTACTAGATCCTGCCGATTGCTTCGATAACGATTCCCGATACCACACCGGCGCCGTTGCTTGTGCATCACCGTAGTTATCGGAACGATCTGCTAAAACTCCGTTCTCCGCTAAGCTGACAGGGCGATTATAGCTACGTGCTGGTTCGCGGCCAGTCTTACCGTCGGTCTTGCACTATGGGTTCATACTCTCGGGCAAAGGGCGGGGTCATACAACAGTAAAAAGCGGGCGATTGATTAGACTAGGGAACACGCAGCTTCCATTTCCCTGTCTGCTTAGCAGAGAACCAAGTATAGTACCGTAAGCACATTATCCGTTACACTTTTGAATAAGTAAGGAGTCAGTTACCGAAAAAAAGTAACGCGTTGCCGGTAATGCCGTTGCCTGCATCGCGTTACCGCCAACAGCGCTCCAGAGAAGCTCGTCGGCGCACGCCTCGGGGACTTCCCGACGCGCGCAGCTGACTGTAGGCTCGAGCATCGGGAGCTGCTAGCGGGGAGCCAGCTGGGTCGGCCCCCTCTCCCGGGGTGGGGAGCCGAGGCCCGCCCGGACGCCGTCCCCGGGGCGCACCTGGCCCTGGGCGACCGCGCGTGCTGCCGCGGGGTCCTAAGGGGCGAGGGGGGAAGACGAGGCCTGCGCATGACGTCATGGTCGGTGGATCCCCGGCAAACGCGCTCGAGTCGGACGAGAGAAGCGACAGACGTGCTAGAGTCGCACTTGAGAGACGCTACGAGTTGGCCTGGCGACGACGTTGACGCTAAGTGGGCGGCGATGTTTCGATCCCACTGGTGATGACGTCTTGGGACTAAAGGTGCGCGCCTTGTCTTCTGGGTGGACCGTGGCCCTGACCCGCGCACCCGGGGGAAGCGAGTCCCTCTTCTTCCTCCCCACAAGGCGTGCTCGCTCCCCCGTCGGTGCGCTGGCTTGGAGAGCGCAGATGTGCGTCGCTCTCCCGTCCTCGTCGTCGGTGGACGGTGCGCTGGGGAGAAGCGCTCGCGGGGCCAATCAACCGCCTCTCTTTCGTCACCTGACCCCGCTGTCCGCGCCTGGCGATGGGCGTGTGCCTGTTCCCGCCCAGGAGGATAGACTCGCGGGACTGGTTCAACGGGCAGGCAGCTTCCCCCGCACTGTCAGCTTCGGGGTGAACGGCAGAAGTGGCCTCGGCACCGCTGGGAGGGGTGTCCGCCGACTTCGTCTCGAGGTTTTATTTGAATATGCGTTTCTTTTTTCTTCAATTGTTTCCTTATCCGTGCGACTATGTTCGTCGTTGTTGAGTACGTCGGCGGTGTGGGGGACAAAGAGGATGCGAGTTTGTGCGTCCTGTCGTTTTCTTTTTTTCTTTTTTTTTTTTTTTCGTGAACGGTTTTTGTTGCAGTTAAATTAATTCTCGCGTTACGTGCCACGCGACCACTGAATCCTATTTCTGCATCACGCGAAAATTTTGACCGGCGCAGTTCTTCCTTGGTTCGGGCCACGACAGACTTTGACGCACACAACAACGCGTAGTGCTGACGTAGAGATCGGATCAGTAGGAATTTGCGTGTTTCTCGACGTAATTCTTAAAAATAGCCGTAATTGAACCGTGTTACAACTTACAAGTTGGTAGTCCAAACGCGTAATTGGTACCCGGAGGAATTAGACGGGCCGTTTTGAACCGTGCACTGGCCAGCGGCCGTCGGCGACCGCTTTCCGCGCCTAGACTACCGGGGTGCGAGGCAAAAGTCATGTTGAGTGCGGGCAGCCTTCTGCGCGTCCTCCGAGCCGTCTACTGCCAGGCAGACGCTACTTTCTCCACAAATCCACGGGCTGTCGCGGACACCTTAGACAATTGTGCTCACGTTCTTGCTTCGGAATTTGTCCTTGGCTCTATCTAACGAAGCAATATCTCTCCGTGAAACGCCGCAAAAGAATGTGCTTCCTTTTTGTCTTCGCGTTTTTTTTCTTTTTTTATTTAATCCCGTCTCGCTGATAGCGATGAGATGTGCACCGGTGCGTGGCTGCAGACGGCCACGTGGTATTATGGCGGCGCCCACGTCTGAATACATGCGCCGCAGTCTACTCTCGTTTTTTTTCTTCCGCCAATCGAAGGAACCTGTCCGGGGTTTCCCTCTGTTTCCGCGTGCTTTGGAAGTGCCGTTGAGCGGGCAGGCCGTAGATTGTTTCGGGCATTCCCTTTGTGCGGTTTCCTCCTTTCGGTAGCGCGCGCGCGCACATTCCCGGCGCCGCGGGTTGCGTTGCCCGTCGGCGACTTGAGAAGATCGCCGTCGCTGGAGCGTGGCCACGTCCGCGTCTCTCTCTCTTTGTTCTCTCGGGGCGCTAATATCATTCGGCCGCTTGTTTAACCCACGAGGAAGTTGTTTGGCCGTTTCCAAGGGGGGCGCGGCCACGCTGAGAGGCGGCCTTTGAGACGCCAGGCCTATTACCGGAATCTTTTCTTTCAGTTAGTTATCATCGTTACCCAGTACTTGGTTTTTTAACGCTGTACACTCGCAAGAAAAATAAAAAAAAAAAAGAAAAGGATGTACTTGCATATATTTTTGACGGAGACCCGACCATTGCGATCTGCAGAGGAATTTCGCCAAACAACGCAATTAAAAAAAAAAACAAAAAAAAACGCGTTGTGACAATGCAGCAGGGTGTCTTACATGCTTAGGTCGTGCTGATAGTCGTTTCGTCACGAACGGAATTTATTCCCCTGAAACTTTTTTTTTTTTCCGGTCCGGTCATGTGTTGAGATGCCATTGTTCCTGGGCTTGCCGCGTGTTGAAAGAAAAAGTAGAGGCTCCGTCTCCTCGTTTTCCGGTCTCTTGATTATTATTTTTTTAATCCGATGGCGTTAAGTGGCTCGTGTCGCAGAAAGCCGGCATCGGTGGCGTGGCGGGAAAAATCCTGATTGGTCGATAGGGTCATGACGTCACAGCCACACGACCTCGCGCGGGAATTTCAAACAACGCTCACGCGAAACGTGACGGCACGCGTGGAATGAAACTGATTAAAACGGGACACGTAATACGAATTAAAAGTCGCCGCTCGTCTCAAAGGATTTCACTTTATAAAGTAATTTCTTTGCCTTAAAGAATTTTAGGTGGGACTGGAACCCACGGTTGCGAGCCGGACCACGCTATCGACTAGGCCACGCAAGGCACGCCCGCACGGCGAATGAGAAGGCGATGCGAACGAGGCCTGATAACGCTATCGCGTTCCACTCTTCAAGGCCGAACCGCATGTAAACGAATCAGGGGTGGAACGGCTGCGCCATTTGCGCCATTTTGCGCCAGACGCATTTGTCTGCGCCATCCTGCGCCATTTCGCGGAAACTGCGCCACAGCCAATACCTTGCGCCATTATGCACCAAATCGCACAACGCGCGCCAAAGAAATGTTTTTGTTTTGTCTTGGTTTCGGTTTCTATCGACTCGATTGGCAACAATGAACGCGTTTAGCTTGGTCGGCCTTGCAATTCTTTGTTCTGTTTGTTCTCCCTGTGTATCCCGAGTCGGAAGCGTGTGAAAAAACTCAGGGATCGGATTCGAAGCGCTATACCTGCGACTGGATTGTTATTCTTCAACCATCAGTGGTTACTGAGCAAGTCGGACGAGGTGAAGTCGAGTCGTTAAACGTCAGATTGCCTGAGGCTCTGCGGCCCGGGATCTGGACGTCAGCCAGTTTAAAACAAATGAGCAAAAGATTCCTTTTAGCACTTCATCGTTAGAAGTTAGAACCGCATTCCCGCAAGATAAATTGTGATTTGATAAAACTGAAACGCGGTCCGATCCGAAACCTTGCCGGCCAGCAGCTCTTACGCGAGTGGTAGGTCTACTCGGCGTACATTAACCTTGCTTTTGCTAATCG